AGTAAACTTAAATTTCCCTCATAAAACAGCATTAAAGCATAACTGCGTTTGTTAACTTGCCTCCCAACAAGCGTTTATTTTTTTATACAACTTAGAGTGGCAAACAAGCTGACGGCCCACCTGATGGAAAGTGGTAACCGTTGCCTATAGTTATGGGCAGTATCAAGGTCATAACAGAGTATACTGTTTCGCCTATGATACCCCCCATGCGTTGCCATTTCTGAGGATTTAGATGTCATTCCTCTGTACCCTGTAAATTCACTGCCATATTTAACCCTTCAAACGGAAACACAGCCATGTAAACACAACTGTTTCTAATAGGACAGAGGTACCTTAGCAAACGATATTTGTACAGTCTCCCTCTGGTATATACTATTCAGTGATTTATGTAGATAACTGTACTTGATTCATATCGCTCCAGATTTTATCGCGGTATTAATTACATACACACATTTACATTACGGTTTGGATTTCTCGACGTGAGAATTGAATGGCCAACGGTTGTTTTGGAATAATTGCAGCCCGAAAAAGGAGTGTGTGTATTGTTTTTAATGACCATGTATGGCGTGTATGGGAGTCTTTAGCGGCTCGTAGCGATTGGTTTGTTGTGACAATGTTTATTGTATGTGACGTCACATACATATCTATTTGCAGGCTGTCATAAAAATTGTTAATGTGTGTGTAACCAATCACTGTGTTTGTAGTATTATGTGGGACGATGAAGAGGAAGGTTCTTAAGTGGCGACCCTGTACGGACAATCGCAGTGTAGGACGACCCCCTACTAGATGGAGAGACTACCTCGAATACAATGCAGGGAGTCAGTGGATGCGGGTGGTTCAGGGCCGTTCCTCGTGGCAGTCTCTGGGGAAGTTTTCTATTAATAAAGCGAAACAGTTTATTTGTTTGAACACGCTAATCTCTGGAACTAGACGTCGTATTTGAAAAACTCTATCCATTTATAATCCAGCAATAAGAGGTAAATAAATAAATAAATAAATAGCTCCTTTCTTAAAGAAGTTTATAGGCTATTCGATATCACGATACGACCGCAGGCCAAGTCGCGGCGTACGTCTAGTCCTATTATTATAGTCCCAAATCTTAACCCTTCCAGCGTCGACAAGTTAAAATACCAAGACCCCACGTAATTTGCAATCATTTCGTACTATTTCATCAGCTTTCATTGTGGCCAGCCGGTCGGCCTCCACCCAACTTGCATTCCACTAGAAATATATTTCCTTATCACTGTACGCACTCATTGGGCGGTTCCCCTGTGTTCTGTATTTGCCAAAACTGGCAAATACTTAATATTAACTAATATAATTAAGATTAAATACAATGATAATAGATAAAAATTGTGTTTGAATCAAAAAATTTGTTCCATTGTTTCTCTACCCTAATGGGAGACAGACAATGATGTATGTAAATACAATAAATAGATAAAAATTGTATTCCACAAAAAAATGTCGCATTCGTGCTTCTACCGTGAAGCAGTTGTTTGCATGACTGTGTTGGATTGAAGGGTGGGATATGACACAATTTGATCAGAGGTACAGCGATGAATAATCCTATTATTTCAACGCAATATGGAGATACGATACATGTTATATCCATCTAAAATATATATCCGACGGTTACCATTATATACAACTTATATATTCTATTATATATATGACACACAAAACCATTATTTCGATGTTAAATAAACCAATGTAGATATATAATTTAAAAGATTACAATAGTAAACTTATTATAAATATAAATAATTACAAGAAATAATCACAATGAGAAAACAATGGGCGACCTTATCGCTAAGAGCGATCTCTTCCAAAAAATGGAGGGAGTTTTTTTGATGTAAACGCAAAAAATGTGTTTATTTACAACATCACATTAGAAACCTTTAAATTTATCAGGAACGTCAGTCCAATATTATGCATGTAATACATTTAAACATCATTTGATATATTTTAAAAAATATAATCAAATTCAGTTTTAAAGATTTAAAAGTATACATAGGAATGACAGAGGACAGCTGCTTTGTTTCATACTATGTAGTGATATTAATCTAATAATTTAATTTAAATTTAATGAATTGTATAATATTGTATTGTGTAAACGAGAAGAGAGCGTTGATTGAAATAATAAAGAGTAGAAGAGGCAAAATGCACCTTATACGACATATTATTTTTTTAATCCATAATAGAAGGAAAGATAGAGGGCAAAAGAGGAAGATCTTTTTAACTACATGGGACAGATAAAAAACATATTACGCGTCATGTCGTATAAGGTCAATATATTGGGATAGAGGGCTAGAAAGATGATGATGATGTGTTAAATGAAAATGAATGATAATATATAAATAACAATTTAATAGGAATAAATATATATTTACATATACAGTTTATATTTACTATATAGTGATTTTGTTTCATTTTAAATGATTGTCTCGTATCCTGCACATTTTATATAAATACTAGTTGACTTAGCAAACGTTGTTTTACCATATATATTATTTCTAGAACTATACGTAAAAATATATCGTACTATAATTATGATATTCGATTATCATCTTGCAACCCTAGTACGACATATAAAATCGCGATTAAACAACAGTAATTGATCGTAAAAGCGTGAAAATTTGAATTTGTATGTATTTTTCAATGCTACATCATAATAAAATTAAAAAAAATTGTCAAAAAAATAAAAAAATATAAAAGTCCGCGGGTCATCCTTATCATTGAGGGATAAGTGAAAAATATATATATACCCGATTCTCAGACCTACCCGATATGCACACAAAATATAAAAATCGACCTAAATACTGTTTCTAATCTGTCTGTAACAAACACCGCGACACGAGACATTTTATATATAAGATATAATTGCTCTGAATAATTTTTTTTTTACTGTGACCCTCTACTGGTTGCAATGTGCAGGTTACTCTATAATATTAGAAGGATGTCAATCTATTATGGTCAATTCCACGCATGTAATATTACCAAATGTCCTGGTCACCCCGTTCTGTGGTGGGCGTGATGAGAATACGATGTGCATACATGATTCACGATGTCGGTTGCATGGACCGATTCGTGCGTTGTGGACACGTTGATGAAATCTTTACTGATATTATGAACTATGGTTTTGCCCGCTATTTCGTTCGCGGTATCAGAAGTAGGGAAAATCAATGAATTAGACTATTTCTAAATGGCGTGCCAACAGAAAAAAGAAATAGCAGATTTTAAGTTGTGTCTTAAGAAACACAATTGTGAAAAATGCATTTAATTTAGATCTGACATATATTGCGCGTGCGCGTTATATATATATATATATATATATATATATATATGTGTATATATATATATATATATATATATATATATATATATATATATGTGTGTGTACTCCCGGATTTTGTAGCTTTCTATAGGTGAAAGAATTTTCAAAATCGTTTATATATATTTCAACAAACAATCAAGTCTCTCCTCTTTATAATATTAGTAAAAAGTCAAAGGCGATATGTTTACATTATTGTACGTAAACATATCTCTATATGTATTTAAAAAACTGTTTATAATTACTCCTCTCCATCCAAAGGTTGCCTGGAAGAGATCGCTCTTAGCGATAAGGTCGCCCATTGTTTTCTTAGTGTAATATTTTCTTGTAATTGTTTGTATTTGTAATAAGTTTTATTGTAATCTTATGGAGAAAATAATAAAGAGTATCTATCTATCTATTTATTTAATAGTTGTTACGTAATACTGGAACAAACGCAAACAATATTTTAAAAATATTGTTTTGCCTATATTAAAACCCCTCATATTAATTTTTTTGTTAAATATCTCCCATGTGCAGACATCATCTATTTATAATTTTATTATATTTAATACCTTGATAAGGCTCATATAAGTCCCATATAATTTTTTTCACCACTGATATAGCAAATTTTTTTTTATGCAGCAAAAAACTGCTCGTTGAGAAGTAAAATCCACAAGTATGTGTACACACTATAGATAGAGTATCGAGCGTCAAAAAACGGGTCAACTTTTTGTCTTTTTTACTTGTTTTTTTTTTTTTATCAGTGTTCTATATTATCATCATCATCATTTCAGCCATTATCCGTCCACTGCTGGTTATAAGCCTCCCCCATAGACTGCCATAAAGAACGGTCCTAATACACCTGCATCCACTGACTCCCTGCAACGCATTTCATGTCGTCACTCCATCTAGAAGTCTCCCCGTATGTTCTATATACTTACGCATAAAATGTATCTTGACTTATTTATATTTAATAAATAAAATAAGTTTGTATGCATTAAAATGATGCATACAAACTTATTATAAAACAAAATAAAATTATAAAACGTTATAAATGAATCACTCATAACTACAATACTAGAACGTTGATCGCGAATTCTAGCCAAAACAGAGCAAATCGTAAGCATTGTGTTTGTTGCTTGATTGCAATGTAAGATGATGGTACTTTAGATTGAATGTTAGTCATTTTGATTGTCATGAAACGCACTTTCTATAGGTACAACTTTGGTAGTTGTAAGTTTTATACTTTTTGAGAAAATAAGATTAGAGTTCAAAAGTAGCGGGTGGCTCGGTTTATTTGCTGTCCAGTGTATTTGTCACGTAAAATTGTATGAAAAAGTTGTCTCGCTTTTCTCGAAGCATTTGTATGGAAACACTCTATCTATATAATCTAAGATACAAACATTGATCTTGTCAGAAAGTTTCTAAATTCAATTGTATATTATATTCAATCTGTCTATAAAGTCAAAAAGGGCTTAATTTATTAAAAAAAGAAATTTCGTTCTATTCATTAAAATACAACCTCTATATTTTATTTAGGGCACAAAAAACCCTAAAGTTAATCTGAGATATCGAAAAATTAAAATAGGTAATTTTATATAAGAATCGCTGCTTCAAAATACGTTTAGTAAATGGCGTTGTAAGTGATACGATGTTCACTTTGTTTATTAGTTAAATAAAACAAATATTTAAATTGAAATTTATTGAATCTCGTATCCGCCCAATATGGTGCTTCACAATTGCATATTAAAAGTTTGAGAATTCAAACATTGCATCTTAGTAATTTATTCACAGACCCAAGAGGTCCTATAAATGAATATAGTTAACAGGGAGTCTTAAGTAAGGTTGGTACAAACGGAGTCTGCAGCGAAATTGGCGAGATGGCTTTAAGACCCGGCTGCACGAATACCGGCCCTGTCACCCACTGCTGTTCAAGATTCAATGTTGGTAACGTCAGAGGTGATGCTATTAACGATGCAGCTGTCAGAGGAGTCGCAGCAATAGCTGAAGCTGGCACACCTGCTAAGGGTACTGATGAAGATGGTAGCGGGGCTATAGATGCGGCAGAAAGAGGTGTGGCTACTGGTGACTGAGATAGAGATGCAGCGGAGACTCCTGTTTCCGAAGCTGATTGCGCTGAGGCTTCAGAAAGTGATGCAGCTGGTGCAGCAGCAGCGGAGGCTTCTGAAGAAGCTGCAATAGCTGCTCTTGTGTCTGCAGTAGGTGCCGAAGATTCAGATAATAACTGAGCTTGCGCGGCTGCTTGAGCGGCTTCTAAATTCCTCACAAAACCAGCCGCAGCCTTATCCGATTCGGACTCTGTCGCTGAAGACTCTACTTGCACGGAATCCTTATTACCTTCATCTTTGCTACCCTCAGGAGCCTCAGCGGCCTTCAATACTGGTGTTTCGCAGTCGGCAGCCGCAACTCCTTGGATAACGTTGCTGTAGATTCTACTCACGACCGGAGAAACCACGACGCCATTAAGCACGGCTTTACCGAGTAAATCCGCGTTGCTCGCTAGGGTCCCATCGATTTTGGCTTCAGCCGTCTGAAGAGCTGTCAATGCCTGCCATTTCGTATCCTCAGTAGACCAGAAAGCCTCCTGACTCTTTTCCTTGAGTAAATCGTTAACCTCAATTACTTTCTCGTTCTGATTTTCAATGGCTTGTTCTAGGAGTTCTTGGTTTCTGTCAGCCGCTGCTCTTAACGCGTCTTCGACTTTGACTTTAGCATCAATAGCTGCAGCTTGGATGTCGCCAGGCGATATGGTTGGAATGTTCGCGATGTACGGCACCGTGAGAGGTGTTAGTGTACCAAACACTGGTGCAGATGGCGCGGCGGTCGCGCAGGCGATGAAGGCGGATAGAATCTGTGAAGAAAGGGTGTGATTAATACAAGTATTATGAGAATATTAAATGTGTTTCAGATGATTATTTAATCATAAATATTATTACAGCAAGCTATTAAAAAGAGATGGACATTAGTAGAAATCTTATTTGGATTTTTTTAAACGATTTTAATTTAAGATAGTTCTAAATTCGTCTGTAGATGTATTGTGTGTGAAGTACACACGCAGTTACGTTGCTAATTCTGAACTTAGCATGAAATCGCGCAAGTGTGCTTGAGTCCTCTTGGAAACGTGGGAAATATGACGACGACGATAGGTCTTCTGACCTTCCTGGTGAGAGGGTTAGGCGGGGGCCTCGGGGTAGACCACTTTAGGAAATATGATAGTTTTTGATAGGAAAAAATACACCCGGTAGATGGCGGTAGGGAGCGAAACAACGTTTGCCAGGTCACCTAATATCTTCACATTGTAAATATCCTCTCATTTCGATTTGTTCACAATTGAAGTCGCTTTATTATAAATTTAGACTAGCCTTTACTCGCGACTTCGTCCGCCTGACCGGAGTATGTTTACTGACAGGGGTGAAAAGTAGACCTATGTCCTTCCTCTATCCCATATAGTACGTATATATGAAATTCAGCACTGTGTGATCGAGTGGTTGATTGAGACGTTAAGGTGCTATAAGGTAACAAACAAACTCAGAGGGAAAAGAATTGTTAGCAATGGAGTTTGACAGCCTCATTGCTAGCAATATGCCCTATTAGATAGATAGATAGATAGATAATTTATTTGCATAACTTACAGCACACAAACAAAAGACACAAAAGCAATGTGAAAAAAGATAAAAAAGATACATGTACAAAAGATTAAAAAAAAAAAAAAAACCAGAATGCATAATAATTTTTTTTTCTTCATGCGTGTGCCACAAACTCTTTTTGCTTTGTTGATATTCTGTTGTGGCCAAAAGTGACGATGAAAGAAATATAGCTAACATAGTGTGCGTTCGTTATACTCGCTATTTAGAAGAAGGGTAGTCTTTATCCAGTTTCCATCTGAATACAAATTATACAAATACAACTCATATTAAAGAGGCAACGCCATGTATATCGCCAGACAGCGATCCCTCCCAGACAACCCAAGGATGGAGAGAATTAAATTGTGTCTGTTAAAGGTGTGACAGAAAAGTAATAAGACTAAAATATGAGAGAAAAAATGGGTAAGAATCAATTTAAACACAGTATAAACAATATAAATAAAATAGACTTACATATAATCATAATAATAATTAAATCCTTATAATATACTAAAAAGATAAACGAAATAAATAATACATATGTGTATATGAGTATATATATTGGTGTATTAAGTACTACGACGGAGAAGAATAAAAATGTACTGTACAAAGGGAGACAGCTTCCGCCACCGATTTTTGTTTTTCTAATAGCATTTCTTTAATATTTTTCCTAAACGTATGTAAAGATGTCATTATTCATGGTTATTATTCCAACATTTCGTGGCCTGATATTCAAGCTGCATAAATGCCACAGTTTTATGACATTGAAGTGACAGTGGTGGTCGCACTGATCTAGAATGATACCTATCATTCAACTTACTGTGAAGATATTCTAAATCATTACACCAAATAACAAAGTAGCTAAATGTAATTAGATCGACCTCCACGTGGTTCCCCCTGGAAACCATTGTAAACAATTCTTGTTGAATTCGTCACGATGGGCTAACTGACCTGCTTTATCCCCATCTATCATTCTTCACTGGTGCAACGCCAGTGTATACCGAAAACCATTCCGTTATCACCCATTGAAAAAAAAAACAACAATCTCACTTTCACATTTATATTATAATATTAGTAAAGATTAGGCATGGATAATATCGACACTGTTCCAATATCTATATATTGGTTTCTTTTACACATTGATGGCGGTAAAAAGGTCACCTATTCCGATATCGCCCATATCGCTCGGATATATATTCATTACAATCGGGTTCTTCGTAAAAACATTAAATATAAATTGGATAACAGACATTTAACATGGTTTTTTTTTATTCCAAGACGGCCCACCTATGGAAAGTGGTAACGTCGCCTATAGACATCGCAGTACCGTGATATATATTTTCGCCCATTACAATTCCTGGGACTCAGTTCTTCGTAACGACATTAAATATTTTATAACACACATTTAACGTGTTCTTTTTTAGGTAAATATATATATATTACTGTATATTATCCGCTCATAGTAAAGGTCTGTCTGTCTGTCTGGAATAATGTATAAATAATTTATCTATCTAATATAAAGAAGTGTTTGTTTCAAAGCTAACTGGTTATTATATTGACCGAAGGATATAATAATGAACGTATCCAGTATGCTAATTTAATTCGCCTCAATTGACGGCCTAGGTAATAGACTGTAGGTTTACTTGACGCATATACCAGAGGGAGACTTTGTACAAAAGTCGTTTGCTTGGGCACCTCTATCCCATTCGTGTTTCTACCGTGAAGCAGTTGTGTTTGCATGGCTGTGCTTCGATTTGAAGGGTGGGGGATATGGCAATGAATTTACAGGGTATAGGGGAATAACACCTGAGTCTAAATAAAGAAAAAAACACATACATACAAACTATACATATGCTCGCAATGTTAATTCCTGATTAAAATAACTACCTCGATAATTTTTTATATAGATGAAAATTTACCGGGTTTTTTCGTAACAAATTCATCTGTAATTAGATAGATAGATAGATAGATACTCTTTATTGTTTCCTCCAAAAGATTACAATAATAAACTTATTATAAATATAAATAATTACAAGAAATAACCACAATGAAAAACAATGGGCGACATATCGGCTAAGAGCGACCTCATCCAAACAACCTTTGGATAGAGAGGAGTAATTATAAACAATTTGGTGGGAGGCACAATGAAAAATTCTGTTAGTTCTAAATATGGGAGATGTGATAAATATACATATAATAATAATTAATCACGATGGTTACTAGGGGACCACGTGAAGGTCGACGAGAAAGAGTATATTTTTTATGGGTGGAAATTGAATGGTAACCCTGCCTACGCTGTCGGTATACACTGTCAGAGCATCAGTGAGAGATGATAGGTGAGGATGAATGCAGGTCTGTTGGCCCATCGTGACGAATTCGATGCGAATTAACCACGATGGTTTCCAGGAGAACCGCGTGGAGGTCTACCTGGGTATATTGCTAGTAATGGGGCTGTTGGACTTTATATTAACAATGTAGCTCTCCCTCCTCCACCACACCTTAAGATTTCCTCGTCTAATCGGGTCTCATAATGTTTTTTTTTATGGGTGAAAATGGTATGGTAACCCCGCCTGTGCTAACGGGATACGCTGGCAGAGCACCAGTGAAGGGTAATAGATGAGAATAAAAACAGGCCAGTTAGCCCATCACGATGAATTCATCAGGAATTAACCATGATAGTTTCCAGGGAGAACCGCGAGGAGGTCGACCTGGTTGGGTATATTGCTAGCAATAGGATTCTCAGTCTCCATTATTAACAATCCCTTTCCCCCCGGTCTCATAATGTTGGACAAGAGATAGATGGACTGAAATAAACATTTAATATAAATTTAGTGTGACTTATCTATCAAGAATGTCAGTGTCGAATAATGCACAAAAAAGTTTAGTTGTACATATACAAAAAATGTGCACTGTATATACTCGACTACTGTACTTACATACTTAAAAACATTGATATAAAAAACAATCTAAGTTCCACATTCCCATACAAAAGTTAGAATTAAGAACGTTCTGAATTATAAGTAAATTTTACAACGAAAAAAAAGCAACTACGTGAACAAAGACACACACACACACACACACACATACATAAGTAAACGACGAGATGTTTCCAAAAAGCTTTATATCTCACTAACAAAATCAAATTGTACCTACACGATGTCTGTAATTGAGAGATACGGGGGCTGCTTTTTAAGTCGTGTCGTGTGCCAACCTCGCGCGATTATTAAAAAAAAAAACATTAACTTTATTGTTTCCTCCAAAAGATTACAATAGTAAATTTATTGTAAATACAAACAATTATAAGAAATAATCACAATGAGAAAACAATGGGCGGCCTCATCGCTAAAAATGATCTCTTGCAGGCAACCTTTGGATGGAGAGGAGTAATTATAAACTGTTTGATAAGAGGCACGATGAAGGACTTATTATTTTTAAATATGGAGATGTAATAATGTAAATATATATCCCTTCTTATATACACACACACATATATATATATATATATATATATATATATATATATATATATATATATATATATACACTCCTCGCAAAAATTAAGGGAACATAAAAATTTTTGAAATTTTTGGGTGATTTTCAACAGCCATTTCAGTGAAAAATAATCGTACAGGAAATTTAAAAAAAGGGTTTTGAAGCTTGAAAACGCAGATTTTTTGGTGAAAAAATTTTTTGATTATTAAAAAAAAAAAGCTAAAATAATTTTTTTTCTAAATGTTCTAGTTTCACTCTATGGGCATGGAAAAATTTTTTCGAGCTCAAAAAGATTCAGCTTCAAAAATCGCTTTGGATGGCTCAATTACGACCATTTGTCTTGATTTTTTTCGATTTTTTTTTGATAATGAATTTTTAAAAAACAAAAAATTGAGTAAAAAGTGAAAAACAAATGAAATTATTGATTTTTGAATGGATTATGTTTAAGGGACAAAACCTTGTTCCCTTATTTTTTCCAAAATTTCAATCAATTGGTCCGGGAAAAACCGTTGAACGATCGCTCTTCTTAAAGGAACAATAGACTGTAAAATTTTCCTCAAACTTTAGCTTTCCCGCCCATATTAGCGAAGATGGGAGAAATAGTCACTTTTTTCCACTTTTTTCAATTCAATGTTAGATGGAAAAAAATTTTTCTTCATAACTCTTGACTGTGCTTAATTGTAAATTTTATGCAGATAAAGAAACTCAGTTCCAGAGATATTAGCAGTTGAATGGAAAAGGATGCTTTTGCATTCAAAGGATATCCGTAATATCCAAAGCGATTTTTGAAGCTGAATAAACACGCTATATACAATGGAGTAATAAAAAATTTATATAGAGTGAAAAACGAAACCTAGAAAATTTAGAAAAAAATTATTATATACATATATATACACACATATATACATATACATATATATATACATACACACATACATATAAACACCTACACAAATACATAAAAATACATAAATACTGTTCACATTTATACGTAAAACACAAATAAATTAACCTGTAGTAACTCTGGTATTGCAAGCGTTCAAAGCCTACGGTAACCTCTTACCATCAGGTGGGCCGTATGCTTGTTTGCCACCTCACTGGTATAAAAAAAAAAGATAAAGTGAGGGTGCTGTCGAATTAACTAAATACAAAATTTCCTAACTAAATCCGGTCCTAAGGACCAAACTCCTTGTCATATTAAATTAAAATTTAGTAACATGTCTTTAAGTTGGCTGATTAAAAATTAGTGCATAATTTAAATGCTCTATATTTCAATGCCATTATTAATTTAGTCTCTGATTTATATATCTTGTATTTCTTGTATATATTATCTTGGAATATGTTAATAAATGTATATAAATAGCAACAGAAACCGGTATCTAATCATATGTCATTTAAAAGCCAATAAGTAATGTACTGAGTGGATAATAATTTATGTTATTACCATCAGACGGGGCGTATACTTGTATACTTGATTACCAGTGTAAGGTTATTTCCCGATTCGTCGGTACGGCTTTCACAAAAGATACCAATTCTCAATTCGTCTCAATTTTTCGTTGCTATTTCACGCTGTTACGTCGTAAATTCTGAACCGATTTTCACGATTCTTTTTGCAATCGATGGAGTCTTGACCCGTGCTGGTCCTGCATTATTTTTGTGACAATCAATATGGACTTTTTTGTTTACGGAGCTAATAACTGTTTAATCGACTTCAAAAAAATGAGGTTATGTGTTCGACTGTATATTTTTCGTTTTGTTAATTTATTAAATTTATTTATTTGTAGACACACAATGCCGTGGGCTTAATTCGAATATTTCCAGTCTAATGTGTCTACGAAACATCTCGCCGTTCATCGATGTACGAGGGTCGCTTTATGGATCATTTAATTAGCTACGTACAGTGGTAGCACGCTTTATTACGCGTCAGTATATTGAAGTTTGATTCTCAGTTAGTTAAGTTTATTTATATTTTAACTTAAATATTAGAGAAAGATTTATACTATATATTATATATGAAATATGTATATTTACTAAGTATATATTCCTAAAGAGGGTTGACGTCAGGCAGGTGGCCGGTCGTAAAACTAAAAACCAAATCTTTTTGTAATATGGATGAAAATCATATTACGCCGACCCCAAATAATTGGGATAAGGGTAGGAAGATGATTTACTAAGTATATAATGCTCCTGTGGTCCCGGCATAGAATAGGCCACCCCTTCCTTTCCCGTGGGTGTAGTAAGACTCGACTAAGGGAGGGCGAGATATGGGCAGAAGCGTCCCTCGTTAAACATAAGCCTAACTGTGGTTGTCAATCTGCCTGCCAAACGTGGCAAATATTGACAAAGGGAAATGCTTATGTTCAGTAGTGGACAGTTAAAGCCTGATATGGGGGGAAAGGGATTGTTAGTAATGGGCTCTAACTGCCCCATTGCTAGCAATATATAATATCAGGTCGACCTCCACGCGGTTCCCCCTGGAAACCATCGTGGTTAATTCTAGTGTAATTCATCACGATGGGCTAACTGATCTGCTTTCATCCTCACCTATCATCCCTTACTGGTGTCCCGTCAGCGTATACCGTTAGCGCAGGCGGGGTTACCATTCCGTTGTCACCCATTTAAAAAAAAAGGCTGATATGGTAATGATGATATAAATTGATTATTGGTGATTATTTCTCGTTTATAATCACAGGTGAAAGAATTTTTAAAATCGATTTTATCGTTTTTGAGTTTATTCCATTACAAACAAACAATCAAATCTTTCCTCCTTATAATATTAGTATAGAGTCTATACCATAGACAAAGCAATTTAACACGACTATTGATGGTACGCTTGATTATTCGATTCAAATATGCTCGGCGAAATATGTCCATATTCGAGAGATATTCACCACAACGGGGGCAGTCGACAGATGGTTCTGATTACCCCATTATGGATTAAAGTCGTAATTAATATTTATAAGTATGTTAAAATGTATATAATTTTATTTCTTTTTTTTTTTTGTTGATAATTCAAACTGGACTATTTGAAAGTTTTACCCCTAAAACATTATTTGATTTACGCAAGTAACGCTACGTGCACGCACTAGTTTGTAACAATCTATGAATAGGAAAAGTTTTCGAATTTACATGACCCTAATTGCGTATTTAAATTAAACATTTGTACTTTTAATACCACTGGCTGGAAAAAAAAAGAACAAGAAAACACTTTTTTTGTCACTTTTTTTTTAAATAGACAATATTTTTCTTTGTTCTATTTTTAAACGTCACACCTAAAGCACACAATCACTTATAGATCTTAATGCAACACAAAATAATAAAGGAACTGACCAGAACTCTCATCTCGTAAGATTCTCGAAGGCTACTGATTACTCCCATTATGCTGCATTCCGTTTTTATATGCCATCGCGAACACATCTATATTTTATGTAGATCACTGGACACTGGATGGTCGTTGCCTTTAAAAAAAAAAACAAGAAAAAGTCATACGTACAGAGAAGGGCGGGAATGCAGGAAGTTTTTGACATCTGATGGGCGCCATATTTGATTGCATCGATAATTTTAGTATGGCGTTGCATCATAGACAAGATAGGGCTTGGCGTTCTTTTTTTTTTAATATAATTTATCATTGTAACGATGAAACAAAATGATCGTCTTAATGGACAAAAAATGTAATTACAAGTCGTTGGTTAATTTCACTTCTTAGTGAGGTTTTTTTGATAAGATGTAAATGGAATGGTAACCCCGCTTGCACTACCGTTATCATCAATGATAGGTGAGGAATTCACCATGAAGCGAAGATCGACCTGGCTAAGGCACATTGCTTGCAATAGAGCTATTTGATTACATTATTAACAATCCTAAAAGCGAAAGAGGTTTGTTTGAATCGATGCATTTGGCGTTCCATTGTTTCTGCCTACCCTAATGGGAGACAGGCGTGACAGATATGTATGTATTAACAATCCTTTCTCGTCTCCTTAGTAAAACGTTAAAAGTTAGAGGCATTTTGCCCGGTTCTCTCTGCTTACCTCATAAAATACATAAAGATTGGTCTATTTATAAGTGTGCTAAATTCTTTCACCATTAGGAAGCCTACGTTCACCCTGAGTAACATAGGCTACATTTATTGCTAGAAAAGATTAGGGATCCTTATTAAAACTAGTAATGTAACTCAAGGTGTAAAAAAAATCCTATAAAATATCTTTCGTCACGTGCGCTGCGGAAACTATCGGTGATAGAACAAAAGTATGTTCTACAATATTGAAGAAAATATCAATAACTACAAAAAACTTGGCAATACTATATGTCCAACTATTATCGTTATGTCACAATAATCACTTTCTGAAATGTTGTAAAAATGTCCACCCGTGCGAAGCCGGGACGGGTCGCTAGTAAACAATAAAATACGGTTCAACAGGCGGACTTAATGCCATAGGCATTCTCTACCAGTCAACCTTTAGGATGTGCAGAGATACAAGATGGCGGTTTAAATTTTTTTTTGTAACAATATTGAATTTTCATATTGATATCTCAATTCGTATCATTCGTCCATTATATGTGTTTAAAATACAACTGCGAAACACGATAACGTACAATTAAATTAAATGTTAACACATAGCTTTATTGTTGGAACATACTATTAAAGGGATTTTATTTTTATTGAATGCAATTAGTAATTTAGTCTCTCTGTGTATTTTTTTTTCTTTTTTTTTTCTTTCATGAAGAAGTTTATACTCTTATAAAAAACCCAGTCAAGTGCGAGTCGGACTTACGCAACGAAGGTTTCGTATAAAACATCACGTATATTTGTTTTTATGAAATAATTGCAAATTTACAGTTTTCGGATTTTTCCCTTTACTTGTGCTATATGACATTGATTCTTGTCAAATTTCATGACTAGATCAATGGTAAGTACCTTATATAGGTTTTGATTCCCTTTGCTAACTCAAAATCTGTAATATAAATTTATTTTTCAATTTATTTGTTTGGAACAATACTACATTCTGTTGAATATTTTTTATAAGTAACAATAAGATATCATAAAATACAACAAAACAGAAAAAATATGAAGCAACAAAATAGCCAATAATAATTGTCAAAAATTGGACATAAACATAAACGGCCGTATCTTTTGATTACGTCGATTTAGAAGCTTAAATTTTTCTTTTTTTTTTATAACACAGGGGGCAAACGAGCATGCGGCTCACCTGGTGGTAAGTGACTACCGCCACCCATGATCACCCACAACACTAACGGCATTCTAGGTGTGCTCCTGGCCTTTAAAAAGGACTATGCTCTTTTCTTAAAGGTTATGTTGTCGTATCGGTTCGGATATACTGCTGCTGGAAGTTGATTCCAATGAGTGGTTGTGCGTGGAAGAAAGTGCCTTGAAAAACGCACGGTGGAGGACCGCCCCTCGTCCAGATGATTGAAATGAAATTTTAGCTTATGGCGGGTAGTACGATGGTGAAAATCAGCAGCAGGTATCAATCCGAACTGCTTTAAGAGATTACAGACCTGAGTATATAATATTTAGACTTTAACTTAATACCTTCACGCGTTCCTAAGAAAAAGGGTCTTGACAGACGGACGGACGAACAACGAAGTGATCCTATAAGGGTTCCGTTTTTTCCTTTAGAGGTACAGACCCCTAAACACTGTGTCTCCCAAAAAACCCGATTTGATTTTTAACCGATTACCAAAGAAAGGGTATTGTTTTAAGGTCTAACGAGATTCGAACGAGATATTCTTCAGCGTACGTTTTGGTCCAGTTATTTTTTTTTCCCTTTGAGTGCCGAAGAGCGCCATCGCTCTCGTGCGCATTGCAACTAAAAACGCGACGAGCGTCATAGCGCTCGTGAAATCCGTCGCTGTTTAGGTTGCTGTAATAAAAATATTAAAATTGGATATTTTTTGAAGGAGATACAGTTTTTTTAGAGACAAGGATAAATGACATCAACACGACAAAGATTTCTTTGGCATTTTTAAGTAGATATAAGTAAAAATCAATGGCACTAAAACTATGTATGTATGTGTATCTATATCTGTTTGTATATGTTAATATGTATAGATATATTTGTGTGTGTGTATATATATATGAGTAGGGATAATTTTTATATTATTATATATATTACATCTCCCATATCTAGAACTAACAAAATTTTTCATCGTGCCTCCCACCAAATTGTTTATAATTACTCCTCTCCATGCAAAGGTTGCCTGGAAGAGATCGCTCTTAGCGATAAGGTCGCCCATTGTTTTCTCATTGTGATTATTTCTTGTAATTATTTATATTTATAATAAGTTTACTATTGTAATCTTTTGGAGGAAACAATAAAGAGTATCTATCTAAAAAAAGGCTAAGACTCCAATAAAGATTGTGTACTACTAAAAAACTGACTTCAATTGTGACAAAAATACTTATTTAAATCTAGAAACTAAACTACTAAAACGTTTTTGATAAAATTTCTATATATAGAATCAATTTGTATAACCTTTCAGAGAAAGACAGAATTTTCCAAATCGGTTCACAACTGACAGAGTTATAATCATTAAAAAAAATACAACCGAATTGAGCACCTCTTTCTTTTTTAAGTTGGTTGAATACTGTTTTCAACCAACTTAAATGAAATTGTTACTCTACGTATGCGTTCTCTGAAACATGCGTATACGTCCAGTTGAACGGCTGAACTTGACCTTCGGACACTTACGCATTCACCATTCATAAAGATGTTAAAGTCACAGTGTTTTAACCGACTGCGAAACGAAGATGGGTAGTATAAATTTAGATTTTACCAGAGGGAGATTTTGTATAAAAGTCGATTGCTTGAGTACCTCTGTCCCACTCGTGTTTCTACCGTGAAACAGTTGTGTTTGCATAGCTGTGTTTCGGTTTGAAGGGTGGGCTATGGCGTGAATTTACAGGGTACAGAGGAATAACATCTGACTCCTCAGGAATGGCAACGCATGGGGGGTATCATGGGCGAAACAGTATACTCTGTTATGTCCATGGTACTGCTCATGTCTATAGGCGTCGGTTACCACTTTCCATCAGGTGGGCCGTCAGCTAGTTTGCCATTCTAAGTTGTATAAAAAAAAAAAAAGATTTTTGCGGCTATCTCTACACGTAATATTGAAAACTAGCTTTTTGCACGCTACTCCGTGTACTTAGATTTCAGAAGTAAGAAAGTTTAGTAAATTGAACTACTTCTAGATGGCGTATCGAGAAAACACGTACACCAGATTCTAAATTAGACTTTCAGGGACACGACTGTGAAAATCGCATCAAGTTTGGTGCAGTAGTTTTTACCTGATAATAGATAGATAATTTGTATTATTTACAGCAAACAAATTACAACATATATTGATATACATAAAAAGCGAGATAACATAAATGATTAAAAAAAAACATAAAACTAAATACAATTTTTCGTTTTGTGCGTGTGCCATAACAATACGAAATGGTCACAACTCAGTTTATTGCTTCGCCCTCGACAATATGTTATATATTATATATATCGTTATGCCGGAACAAACATGCAAATAGACAGATAGATACAAAATTTCTAAAAATTTTCGTTTTGTCAGCTATTGTTCTATAATACCTTTTATAATAATATTTCTTAAATATCTCTCATGTACAGACTGTTTCATTGCAATTTTCAATCGACTTAAAAAAAGAAGGTTCTCAATTCGATTGTATTTTGTTCTGTGACAAATTAAAAAAAAAATGAAATTTCAAAATTTCGTTTCATTGTGCGCTCCCTTGTATGAGTGCAATACGTAACTGGATGGTTTACTTTATGTCTTGTTACTTGTCACCCATCAATAACTGAACAATGTATGTATGAATGCAATGAATATTTAACAAACACATGTATGTAAGTGTAAAATTACAAATTTTTCATTTACATACATACATAGATATAGGCGTATCTATTGTAATAATAAGATCACAGCGCCCCTGTCAATCTGTCCATCAACGACATATTGACATCGAGTAAATTTTTTATATCCGTTCAGATAAAAAAAAAAGTTTTTCCAAATCGGTTTATCAGTTGACGGAGTTATGAGATAACAAATAAAGAAATAATTAAAGATTGTGTGTCAAAACAAATGACATTAATTATGACAAAACCTGCTTTTTTTTAATTTAAAAACTAAACTATTGAATCAATTTTGATAAAATTTCTTTGGGACCAATTTGTATATCCTTTCAGATAAAAAAAGTTTTCCAAATCGGTTTAGAACTGACATTGTTTTAAGTCGATTAATAATCTTATTCCACGTTTTACCAGAGGGAGACTTTGTACAAAAGTCGATTGCTTGGCTACCGCTGTCCCACTCGTGTTTCAACCGTGAAGCAGTTGTGTTTGCATAACTGTGTTTCGTTTTGAAGGGTGGGATACGGCAGTGAATTTACAGGGTACAGAGGAATAACACCTGAGTCCTCAGGAATGGCTACGCATGGGGGGTATCATGGG